AATCGCACCTTGCTCCTCCTGCCCCTCCATTTATTACTGGAGATAATAACACCCCTTCTCTGAAGGAGTTGGGAGGAGGAATCAGTTGGCTATTTTAAGGTAACCAGGTCCCATTATGCCATACATACCTATAAAAATCCCCTGAAAAAAAAAAAAAAAAAAAAGAAAAAAAAAAAGAAAACAATTTGTGTCGGGGAAAAACAGATCTGGAACAGTGTTTCTTCCATTACCTCCTGATTCCTCAAAGTACTGTGCTGGTCATCACAGATGATGTAGAGAGAGTGGGACACTCAGATTTACTGCAATCTGCAAGAGGGGAAAATAAATCCAAACACAGACTATACAAACAAAGTGCCAGCTTTCATAAATGAGGAGGGATAAGTTGACAGCGAGGTGGCTGAAGGGGACGAAGAATATTACTAAGCACTGTTGTCACGAAGGCAATTTAAGAAAGCGCAACAATTGCACTGATGTTGTCAGAGATCAGCGTTAGCTGTAAATTATTTATTGGACATTCCAATAAAAGTGAGCTCAGTAGAGTTTCCAGAAAGCCCCATGCTTTTTACTTCATAAGAATTGAGTCTTATTTCCAGAACTGAGCATCTGAAATTATTCTCCTCTTAGGTATTGTGTCTCTAATTTGGCCATTGTATTACAGAGCTAGATCTAGAGAAAGACTGACCCATATCTTTACAGTTCCCTGTTTTCCTTCTCCCACCCCATTAGAATTAGTCTGCAATAATGAACCAGAAAGTCACAGTGCTAAAGGAATAAATTCCTTCTCTGCACATTCAAAGTATATTTCTCCTGTTCCTACAGTTTAGTTCATTTTTTATTACTTTTCACAGAAAGAATTCTCATATTTTGGTTCTGCCAGATCTCCAGTTGTGGGGGATCACTTTCAATATAAAAGTGATTAGGTGTGGCCAGTTAAAGTCAACCTAAAGCTGAAAGCTCTAAACCATTTGGACACTTCAATACACTCAGTGATGCTACTAGTTGCCCAAGCTACAGGAAACACATCCACAAGAGTTCAGTTTGAAACCTTAAGGATCTCTTAAGATATCTGCAAAATCTGGGTTATGAAGATTACAGTCAGGACTAGTATAAAGAAAAAAAAAGGCTTTCACTGGCTTTCATTGTACACCACATCTTTGAAGTTTACAGTAAAAGCATAGAATAAGAGTTATCAGTTCACCCTTTTCTTAAAATGGCCTCCCACAGTCAAGTTACACTGGATGCTTCTCTTGATAATAAGCTGAAAGACTGTTCTGAGACACAGGTGTGAGAGAGCAAGTGGCAAAGAGATATAACACTGTCTTAGCTGATAAATCCTGGAGTATCAGAGAGCCTTCCACTAAAATGTAAGGAAGACCATGACCACATTTGTTTCATCAACATTTAAAATAATCCCCAGTCTCTCTGTTAGATGAAAATGACTGAAGATGGATGAGGAATGTCTTTGAATGAATCTTTACCTCCTCAAAATTACACTTAAGCTATTGCTTTGTGTACTGGAAAATCCCATTCCAGCATCTAGACACGAGTTAGAAATTGCAAACAAGAACACATCCCATCTACTAAATCATTTTGGAGTTTGGGTGGGGATTTTTCTTGTTCTGCTTAAGCAAGAAGAGAAGAGACAGTATCCATTCATCTTTAATTTTTTTCCCCAATAGAAAAGCATTTTGTCAAAAGCAAGCATTTATGCAAAGTACTGTTTCATGAATGTGAGAGTTAGTAAGCATCTGCAAATCATTACACCAGATTCCTCAAAAGCTCACGAGACCTGCGCTACCACACTTTGTCCTGCAATGCCTTATCAGTCATTCAGTAAATTGCAAACCAACTTAAAAAAATGAAGAAAAGAAAAAAAAAAGAGAGAGAGAGGACCCAAAGCAGAGACACTGAGTAAACTCAGGTCTATCTTCCACATGGGCTTATTAAGCAATCACTTGGTCAAGTAAGGACAAGTTAACACAGGACCACAACTGTTGCCAGGGCTGTGAGTTACCACTGTTTTTTGCTGAGCATCTAAGGTCACCCCCATCTGTCTCCAAGGTATACAAGAATGTCAGATTAATTCAGGAAGGATTCTCCTTTTCAGATAATGACTAGAGAGCAAGCTGGATGGGGCAGTGCACATAGAGGGGTGGACCTGGCAATGCTACGTATAGGTTAATACCAAACCAAGATCTCCTGCATACCAGTTTCAGGTCTGAGTCACAGCCAGTGAACCCCACAGTGCATTCAGTCCAAACAACAAACATTGGCAGCTACTGTTCATGATCACAGACTGTTTCGCCATTCACTTTTACAGTCATTGCTTGTTGTAGCCCCAAATCCACTCATGCATTAGCTGGGGAGGAGGATTCTGTTATATCTTTTTGTAAAGGTGCTCAGTTCACTAGGAAGAGGAACTTCAAATAGCAGCCAACAGTATCCACAATGAAAGCCTATCAATGATCCACTGACCTACCTCAAGGTCTCTGAGACTGAGATTCCCTTCTGTGTTCTGAATGGGAGATACCTGAGCCAACAATTGCTAAGTGGTGACGTTTCACAAGTTGATTGCTAAGTGTCAACTGAAGTGCCTTCACTGTTCATTATTTAATCCACTGTCTCTATTATTTAATCCACAACTTTTTTGTTACTAATTTAAGGTTTTAAAATTAGTACAGAGGCTCCTGGAATTCCATGGCTTCAGCTTCTAGCGTAGAACAAACGATTACCACCCCAGAAATACCATCAGGGTTGAGTAGGAACAGAATTAGCAGCTTTCATTTAACAAAGCAAGCCTCCATTTTAAGGTAAAATATAGGAGATTTTGAATTAGCATTCATGACAAGCAATCGGGTCTTGGAAAAAAAAAAGTATATAGGCTGATAATCCATATAAGGAAGTGCCCTTCTTAAAACAAAATGAGAAGTATTTCCTTTTTACTACCTAGCAAGTTTGCAATACGTGCATTGTAAAAATCACCCCCTGCAGAGATTCATCATACTGGGTATTTCTGGCAAAGTATCTTCCTTGTACCTGGAATCTTGTCCTTTCTGCAGCATAGACTTGGTAGTGAAGCATGGCTTGCAAGACCTTCTTGTGACCATCTGGTACCAAGCAGACAGCTCCTAGGATCTCCAGCACAGCAATCTTGGTCTTAATGTTCTCAGTCCGTAAGCTCTGGGAGATGATGTTGATACTCTCTGGATGAGCCAGGACATGAGCCCGTCCTTGGGAGTTGTTCATCAGTGCCTTGATACACCCTATAACGGATGTGTGTATACGGCTCTCTGAGGTCTCATAGTCCATGCTCTTCAGGAAGTTCAGCAAACAGCTCAGGCCATCCAGCTCAATAAACCTTGTCACAAACCTAAAAAAAAACGCCAAACAGCAAACAGGTAGGAAAAATAAGGAAAGCAGACCAAAGGTAATTTATTCAAATGATACCATATCATTCAACCCTGTATCTGTAAAAGCTGGTTAGTTTTTATCATACGGTTCACAGAATAATTCCCTGGCATTTAAGAAAAACAAAATGAAGCAAGCACACAAACAAAAAAAGAGAGAAAACAGACCAGCTAATAATGCTGTGTCGCATAGTTTCAGAGTAAGTATATTCTACCACTTTATGACCCCACTGTTGGGTCGCTGTGTTCTTTGTTGCAGTTACCACCACACACCTGCCGTGGTCCACCCCAATAGTTGCTGCGTTTTCAATGCTGAATGGATTCTTTCAAATTGCTGCATCTTACATACATGCTAATACACACAAGATATATTTTCATAGAGACTCATCACCACACTTTTGAGTTCAGATTGTCTTGAAAACCATTTTTAGACTTAGGTCAAACTTTTAGCCAATACTACTTATAAGGCTGCCACCTCCAGGAGTGGGTACACTGACAGAGGCAAACTCTTTACCACTGTGTGTGTCAGCTGCACTGACTTCACACTCTGATCCCATGATATACATATAAGAACACATAAAGTTAAAGTTTAAAACATGCATGTTCTGCTGTAAAAGGCAAAACTCCTATAATGGCTTTGGCTGCATTTTTTGTTGTTTGATTGGGGTTTTTTTGGTTTGAGGAGGTATATTAAAGATGGAACAGGTACACAGTCAACCTGCAGTAGCAAAATGTACAGTAAAAACTTCATAAATAGATGAAATACAGAATTAATCAGCTACCAAATGACACATGAAGACTGAACCTATAGTAGGACAGGCTTCTTTTGGTTATTGACATTACTAGAGTTCTGTTTCTATCGTATTCTACCATAAAATTTCTCTTTCTTCAGGTTAAGATTATGGAAACTGAAGATGAAAACAATATAGGAGAAAGTCCTTGGAAAAATTTAAGGTTTTGTTGAAACCCAGGGTTAAAAAAATCCAGATGGGTCAAATTAGACCATGCAGACAGCCTCCTAGATAAATCAATAGAAATTAATGGAATTATATTAGTCAGTTCAGACCAATCATTCTAGCCATGTGTCACTTAGAGTTCCCAGGCTTAAAAATGGGGATTCAAAGATATGAAAAGGGCTGCAAATAATTTCTCTAGATCCCTTTGTTTACCTCCTGTCTCCTCTAGCAGGTTGTTCAGGTAGGTGCACTTTTTTAGAATGTCTAAATGCAAAGCCATGTGAATTACATTTGAATTTCAGTGTACCAAAATGTACACCAACAGTAATATGTCCATGACCATGCTCTAAAGAGCATAATGTAGAAAGACACTTCAAACAAATGAAAAGGTTGTTAACAATTTCCGCCTGTGTACCAAATTAAGAATACCAAGTCTGTGTCATTTTGCTTTTACCCAGCCCCTCTTCTTCCATGCTGGATACTTCCAGAAAGATAATGTGTTATCTTTCTCTTTTCTATCCTTAAGTGAGATGTTGCTCCTAATATGCAACAGTAATGGAAGCACCATACTGAAAGACTGAATTACCCTGGTCTCTGCTTATGTCTCTGCACCAGCAAGACAAACCTGAGCCATACTTATATATCTCCTGGATTATATGGACTTGACATATCCATGATCTTCCAGTGGTTGCACCCCACACCACACAAGAGTTTTCAGGGCCTACCTGAAAGCTCCGGTCACTATGCTGACGGATTTGCCAACTTTCAGCTTGTTTGGGCCAACAGTTTGACCAGAAACATGGCAAAGCCTGGTGCTTTCAACAGAGTTTCAGTCTGAGGTTTGGGTTTCATTCAAAAATCAAAGTGAATATCAGAGCTTACAAGCACATACAGGAGCACATGCATACCAAAAATGAAAACAAGATTTAGTTGAACCCTGCTAAGACAATCCGCCAAGTTTCACACAGGTCTGATTGCACATTCTTTGGATGCATCATCTTGTCTGTGCTAACAAATCATAGGAGCAAAAGCCTCTCTGCCTCCAGGCCAGTGAGTAGGATTAACATTGTGCACCAGGAATTTGGTAACTCACTCAAAGCAGTTTGTTATTTAAACTGATTATAGAAAGATTTAAACTTAGTTCCATTTTTGTAATGCATTTAGCTCCTAGCATGCCAAAGAAGACCAAAATGAGTGTATTCATGGCTAAAAGAGTTGCTGCTAAGGAAGCATTTGGAACTAAAATAAGCACAAACTCAACTTGTTCCCAATGCGGTACCAATGACTTCTGAACATTTCTCTAACCCTGGGCCTAAAGAGCAGAGTTGCTCTTTGCCTCTACTATAGAGAAACTAGTTTAAAATCTCCTTCTCCTCCTCGCCTCCAAAGTTCAGTTCTATGAATCCATTCTATATCTTAGCTATTCCCTCTATCTTTTAGGGGAGGGAGTAAAAAAAAAAAAGCGGGGG